GGTTTCTGGTACTCGACCTTAACCTTAGCATAAGTAAGACATTTACTTACAAAGGTAGCAATCTCTGCTTTCATGTTAGGCCACCAGTACAGTTTCTTAAGATCCAAATACATTTTATCTGAACCTGGGTGAACGGAATACCTCATGTTGTGCGCTTCAGTCATGACCACATCCCTGAAACCACCATGTCTTGGTGTCCAGATACGGTCCATGAGATAATGGGCTCTGCTACCCTTAATTTCTAGATTCTTTTCCATTCCTCTCAAGGATTCACCTGTCACATGCTCGGGTTGTAAAGCTTCCACTTGAGCCTCTTTAATTTGTGTGGATAAGTGGGAATGGATGGTCATATTCAGAGATTTAACTCTCCGACCAGTGTATTCTTTTCGACTGAGGGCGTCAGCTACTACATTGGCCTTACCAGGATGATAACGAATCTCGCATTCGTAATCATTGAGTAACTCGACCCATCGTCGTTGTCCTATGTTGAGCTCCTTCTGATCAAAAATGTGTTGAAGGCTCTTGTGGTCGGTGTAAATAGTACTCTTTGTTCCATACAGGTAGTGTCTCCAGATCTTTAAAGCAAATACCACTGCTCCTAACTCGAGATCGTGTGTTGTATAGTTTACTTCGTGTACCTTAAGCTGATGGGAGGCATAAGCAATAACCTTCCCTCGTTGCATAAGAACACAACCAAGCCCTTGATTCGATGCATCGCAATACACTACAAAATCTTCTATCCCTTCGGGGAGGGATAATATTGGTGCGGTGCATAAGCCTTGTTTCAGAGTTTGGAACGCCTTTTCTTGTTTTGCTTCCCAGTCAAAGACCACGCCTTTCTGGGTTAATGTAGTAAGAGGTTTCGTGATGCTAGAGAAGTTCTTTATCAATCTGCGATAGTAGCCAGCTAGACCTAGAAATTGATGAATCTCAGTAGGTGTCTTTGGTACCGACCAGTTCTTAATGGCTTTAATTTTGGAGGGGTCCACGTGTATCCCTTTTTCGCTAACAACATGGCCCAAAAATTCGACTCTTCGAATCCAAAATTCACATTTAGAGAACTTCGCATAGAGCTTCTCTGATTGTAGTGTTTCTAAGACCCTCCGTAGGAGTTGACTATGTTCTTCCTTACTTCAGGAGTAGATAAGTATATCATCGATGAATACGATGACGAATTGATCCAAGGACAGCATACTCTATTCATTAGGTCCATGAATACTGCTGGTGCGTTGGTTAATCCGAACGGCATCACTACAAATTCGTAGTGTCCATAACGGGTTCGGAAGGCTGTCTTGGGAACGTCTTCCTCTAGCACTCGTAATTGGTGATATCTGGATCGTAGGTCAATCTTCAAGAAGTAGCTCGCTCCTTGAAGTTGATCAAATAGGTCGTCAATGCGGGGTAGAGGGTAACGATTTTTGACAGTGAGTTTGTTCAGCTCTCAGTAGTCGATGCACATCCGGAACGATCCGTCTTTCTTCTTTACGAACAAGACCGGTGCTCCCCAAGGTGAGAAACTTGGTCTAATGAATCCTTTTTGTTGAAGTTCGTTAAGCTGACTGGAAAGTTCTTGCATCTCTGCTGGTGCCAGACGATAAGGCAATTTTGCTACAAGGGTAGCCCCTGGGATTAAGTCGATTCTGAACTTGACTTGGCGTTGTGGTGGTAATCCTGGTAGTTCTTCTGGGAAGACATCGAGGAAATCCCGTACCTCTGGGATGTTGTTTATATCTTTTACCTCCCAACTCGTATCGACGATGTGTGCAAGAAATGTCTGATAATCCTTCCGCAAACACTTTCGAGCTTGGATGCACGAAATGATGTGAAGGTTTGTACTTAATTTGTCTCCGTACATCACTAATGTATCATGGTTAGGGAGATTTAGACGAACGGCTTTTTCAAAGCACATGATGTCGGCGCGAAGAGGACTTAACCAATCCATACAAACTATAACGTCGAAACTTTTTATTTGGACTGGCATAAGGTTGATCGGGAAAGCGTGACCGTCTAAGGTTAATGTACAACCCATGTATATGCAATTAGTGTTTTCCGTTTTCCCATTTTCCATTTCTACAGTGAATGATTCTTCTAACATGCTAGGTTTATGTTTAAGTAAGTGAATAAAGTTTTGGCCCACAAAGCTTCTCTCTGCTCCACTATCGAATAGGATGCATGCATATGAATTATCGAGAAGAAACGTACCAGCAACTACTGTAGGATCAGCCACGGCTTCCTCATGACCAATAGCTAATACTCGTCCCACTCCGCCGGTATTTGCTGCCTTTGGGCAGTTTCTTTTGTAGTGGCCCACCTCGCCACAATCGTAGCATGCTTGGCCTACACCAGCACCGGGAACTTAAGTGATCGGTTTTGTGGGGGCCTTGTAGAAACGGACAGTGTGTCCCTTTCTGTTGCAGTTGGAGCACTGCATTTCCCGACACGGTCCGTGGTGGTGGTAATTGCACTTGGTGCACTTTGGGAGGTTGCCCAGATAAGGCTTTGTTGGGTAGAGATTTGTAGGAACGGTAGTAGGTACCGTTGCAGCGTTTACGGCAACCAGTTGTTGTTTCTTCGAGGATTCTTGGGAAGACCCACCCTTCCCTTTATTCCACCCTCTCTTCTTCTTGTTGTTGTTATTGTTGTTTCCCTTGTGTGGTTCTGGTGCAGATTTGTTGAGTTTTGATGATTTCCGTGATCAATAAGCGATTGTGCTGGCTCCTTGGCACTTTCAAAAGTGTCAGGTTTTGAAGCTAACACACTTGACTGAATTTGGGGTGACAGTCTCCAAATATATCGCTCTATTTTCTTGCTCTCGAGGCAATCATATCTGGGCAAAGGATTGACATCTCGCAGAATCTATTGGTATAAGTTGCTATGTCGGTACCAATCATTCCCAGAGTCCAAAGTTTGTGCTCGAGTTTTTGAATCTCTCCTCATGGACAGTATTCCCTCATCATCATGATTTTCAAGCTTTCCCAGCTTATCGAGTTTGCCACTATCAGGGTAAGTACCTTAACGTGGCCATTCCACCAAGTTAAAGCCCTATCAAAAAATGTGTAAGTTGCAAACTTGACTTTGCTGTGCTCGGGGCAGGAGCAGATTTCAAATACTGATTCCGTTCTTTCAATCCACTGCCTTAAAACCATCACATCCCCCGTTCATTAAACATCCTGGGCTTAGCATTCGTAAAGTCTTTATAGGTGCACTCCCAGGGTTGCCCATGACTATCTCCATGGTTGGAAGGATGTATGCCAATTCCTGAACCAGTAGTAACAGGGGTATTGATCTGTGACATGGCAGTTGCCACAGCTGCAGTGACTGCTGCTTGGAACATGATAGCATCAAATTGAGGAGGTGGAGGTGGTGGTGTCGGTGTTTCGTTGTTAGGGTTACGCCTGCGATTCCTGCGTGGCGGCATCTTTAACTATACGTTTAAAAGATGACGATATGGATAAGAATAAATGAATAGTGAATGTGTCTCATGAACTAAATTGCTATAGTTCAACAACAGATGATAGTATGAGTCTCACAGATAGAAGAGCGAAGGTTATTCGTAAATCCGAATATATGAACAAGCGTATGGTTTTTCCATAATATTTTAGAGATTGAACGCAATACTCAACGTAGTAGTAATAGCGTACGAATTATATTAATATGATAGATGATACAATGATCACGAAAATTTGACCCTTAAAAGGGTCTCCGATTACAAGAATTTAAAGGAAGTAAAAACTTTTAGCCGAAGTCCTATCTTATAACAAAATTTGAGGTTTTCGCAAGTACTACTTGCGACGTGTGTTGCCACTACTAGAAAAACAGCATTTTACGACGCTCATTGCGCGTCGTAAAAGGCTCAGACGACGCGCAAATGTGCGTCAAGGAAGGCCCTGTCATAAAGAGAGACGACGCGCAGTTATGACACGCAATGCGTATCAAGGAAGGCCCTGTCATAAAGGAAGACGTTACGCATTTGCATGTCGTAACCTTACGACACGCGTGTTTATGACACGCAATCCGTATCAAGGAAGCCCCTGTCATAAAGAAAGACGACACACAGTTTTGCGTGTCATAACTTTAAATGTTTTTAAAATTATATTTTTTTGATAGATTTACTAATTTTCAAATTAAATTACACATTAAAAGTCTCATAATACAAAATAAAATACATCAAGCAATAAAGATAATTCATTGCACTAATATGTCAAATACAAATAATCATTCCAATAGCAAGTAAATGTAACACATTGCTAATATTGCATAATATTTATTATAGGAAACAAAACATGTACAACATTAAAAGAAACCCATGACTAAATTCTCCTTTGACAAGAAGCACAGAGGAATGTTGGAACAGCAAGAAGCACATTGTTGCACGGTGCCTGTAGAAAACCATGGCAGACATAAAGACATGAGGATGAGCTTTGTTGCTACTTTTATAAAAACTGAAGTTATTCTATAGGTTATAAGATATAGTATAAATTTTTAACTTTTAAGCCTTCTATAGCTATAGAATAGAATTTGGAATCATTAAGAATACAATGAGGACTTTGTTGTTGGAAGAAGCCTAACCATTGCATAACATGTTGACTCAAAAAGGAAAATGTGGCAACTTTACCTGTACAAAGTTGGAGACAGAAAGAAGTGGCTTCTCTCCAATCTTCTGATTTCTAGCCTGAAAATTAACAAAGAATTTAGCAACTTGTAAGGAATCCTAGTACGACACTAAGTTAAGAACTTAAAAATTTAATTAAGATAACATGCAAATAATGAGAGCAGAATACCTAATAATGAAAATACACTTGTGTGCAAAACAAGAGCATAATCAACCTAATTTATCATGTCATCGAGATAAGACTAGAGAAAAGAACTAACGAAAGTACCCTTCTATGCAAAACAAGAGCAGAATTAACCTAATTTGTCACGTGTCACGGAGATAAAACTAGAGAGAAGAAATGACGAAAATAGCAAGAGGCTGAAAATCTGACCTTACAAAGAGAAGCCCTGCAGTAAGAACCAATCCTCCAACAAGCCATGAAACTTGTTCATTAATGGTTGTTGGAAGAGTTGTAAGAAGTTCTGAAACAAATGGCTCATTAGGTTTGGGAATCACAATTGAATTAAAGAATGTATAAAAATTAAAGAACTCGCCTAATAGAAAAGTAGGGTTCACATGTCAGATTGATGTTAAAGAAGATTAGGGTTCACATGTCTGAATGTTGCTTCTATATATGAATAACTGAAGCAGAAGATGAGTCACAGGTACCATGGAAGTTAAGTTCTACAAAGTGACCACCTCCTTCGCCTCTCGCCAGTCTTCCCGGATTCACACACATACAGTTCACTTCATCACCTCCTTCACTTGTGTGTGAGGTCTGAAGGAACAATGAGAATGTCTGGAACCTTTACAATATTCCTGTAAGTAATCTGCACCAAGCAGTGGGAGAAAAGGTTTGAATTGGATACACAATTATTTTGAATTGTATACAAGTTTCGATCTATCATATGAAGTATGAACAATATGAAAAATAGGAAATGGAAGTTCGAAATCCTAACCAAAAATCCTACATATAATATTATGTCCTCCTGGTGCTTGTCCTCCTGACAACACAACTCCTATGTTCAAGGCCGATCCTGATTCATTAGATTCACCTGGCACCAATATTGCTGATGGTTGCCCAAACAGGGATGGGAAAAGTTTTGCAATTTCATCTGAAAGCATTACAACAAGCACAAATGAAGTCATAATCCTTCATCTTTACATTCAATCTATGCAGGTGATCAGATGTGTTTTCCAATTCTTTTATTTGATTTTGGATTATAAAAAACAAATCTCCGATTTGTTTTAGTACTGGTTCGTTTTTATAGGGGTTTCACTAGGTCTTTATGGTAAGCAGTTAACTTTAAAACTCAAAATGCAAAATTCGATCATAAAACCTAATTAACATCTACATACAACGTAATCAATTAACATAGCTAGAAAATACTTAAATTTTTATTTATCCAATGCAGCAGTGACTGAATTAGAAAGATTATTATCAATCCATCATTAAAAAAGCTATGATCAGTTGTGATCTTAGCATAAATAGTTTTGCTCTTACAGGGGTCGTAAATTCACTTCAGTATCAATATGAAGTGAGAAATACCTGGATTTCTGGCAGCAGAGCTAGCGGGACCATCGACGATTTTGAAGGGGCTTCTAGAGCAAGCGACAAGCCCACAGGAGTGGGTACAGAGGATAAAAGCTGTTGTCACAAACGTAAAAATATTAAATTAAGAAAAAAGAAAAAAGAAAAATATTACTTGAATTTTGAAAACATCCCTGCGTTGACTCAGCAGATGGAATAAATCATCATAAGTCCTGTTTAAAGCTTCTTTCTTGATCTCGGGGTGCTCCGACTCAATGAAAGGCCCTAACTATTAATAAGTTAAATACAATGATTGTTAGTTTAGAGTGGTTTTGATTTTTGAATAGTTACAGGGTTAAAATTGTAAATTCTCACCAGTATAAGCAACTGAAGTTGTCAGTCGTGGTGTAAGGGCCTGAAGCAATAATTTGCTCAAAGATGAGATGTACGTAATCAGAGAGAAACCAGATAGTATTACTTAAAGGGGTACTTTAGTAAAATGAAGAACAAGCTTTACACACCAATGATAAATCTGATGTTATATCAGATAAATCAACAGGCTTGTTATCTTCATCCACAACTTTTGAGGAATATTTTCATCATCAGGGACTGATAACGGTACATAATCAACAATTTTTGTTGCAATTAAATAGTGCCCACTTGGATTATGTCCTTCAATACCTACCACTGTCGAATTATGTTTATGTTAAATGTTTTTTTTGGTCAGTTTCCATTTTTTAACTATCTACATGGCCTGGGAAAAGGGAAAACCAGTCCAGTTTCTGTAGGTCAAGGCACACACGTTGACCTCCAGAATGCTCAACACTGTTCAAACAATTAACAAAGGATAACAGTAAGGGCAAAGATGTATGAAAAGACCATAAAGATTCAACAAATATTACCTGCTTTGAAGCATGATTGGTTTTTCCTTTAAACGCATCTGACATCGATTCAGTCCGCACAAAAGAAAAAAAATAGTATTAAGTTCCATAAACAAACAGTTAAATATACATCAAATCCAATGTGGTAGAGAAAATAAAGAGGAGATGAAAGGACAAGTGAAGTGGTAGAGAAAATAAAGTTGTGAAGTGGTAGTTAAGTTTTTTTTATGAGATGGAATTCATATTTGAAATGACCTAATTACGAAAATGCCCTTAGGATTTAAGTTTTTTAAGAGATGGAATTCATATTTGTTATGTGAGTAGTAACTTACTTCTGATGAAACACCGTGGGTCCCGTATTTGTCATCCCAATACATGGTGCTGATTCTGTATAGTTGTTGTATGTTAAGCACCTGCATAAATGACAAAAATGCACAATCTTGAATATAATAAAAGAGAAAAACGGAAATAAAATATTAACTGTCAAAATTCTAACTAAGCAGACTCCTTTTGTAACATGAATCTAAGCAGCCGCCTTTTATAACAACTAGAAAAACGTCTTCCTAAATACTAACTGTTAAAATAACTCTGAGATGCTTGGATCCAAGAAATTGTTATCTGGTTCCAAATCAGTTGATTGTCTTCAAGGAACTGATAAATAAAGAGGAGGAAGATGAATTTACCACAACCTGAGAAGTTCAATAGTTACTCCCATCCAGCATGTAATATACCTATAATAATATACATGTAATAAGTAAATAGATACACAACAACATTAATAAAACTTAAATTTTGGCTTTATAGAAATCAACTTCAAATGAAGAATGATATGCTTATGTAATGAGGTTCAAGTGATATTATGGACAAGCCTTGAAAATTTTCATATAATTCATGTTTCATGGTTAGTTGGTTACATGTTCCATTGAATTTGGAATGAATAACAAATGTTATAAAAAGATGGAAAACCCAAATTCTCTCGGCCAAATAAATTAATTATGATAAACTTAAAAATTATGTTAAGGATGTAATACCTTGTTATACCAAAGAATGATGTGGTGTAAGGGTATTTATCATCAACTTCATTTGTACGGTTGTAAACAACATCCATGATTACCTGTACAGTTGAAATTCCTACATAATCTACAAAAAGTACTTACAACACTAATGACCTAATTAAATATATAATCAAGCTTCATTACAAGAAAATTCAAAAACCTCGATTCCTGCAAGGTGAAAATCTTTAACCATTCCTTGAACTCCAAACAAGCATTGATACGTCCACCACCACTCGCATAACAGTATACCCCACCTTGATGAACACTGAATAAAACTAAAATAATCATCTTACCCTTATTCCAAAACACAAATTTCTGATAACATAAATGCTACAATAACGATTACCTGATTAGTAGGACTCGAGAGGGGATGAAAACAATCGATAATCGAAAGATTAATCGACCATCAGTGCTCGTTGAATTGTCGATGACGTTCCATTCTGCCGAGTGCCGACTATCATCTCCTTTGCATTTGGGGCCTGATTCATGAATGGAGTATTAAAAAAATGGGCCCTTTACATAGGCCCATCTTGCCCATGTTTACGAACGGCCTTGTTCATACTAGAACCGCAGGAATAACATAGCCAAAGAAAGCACACCACTTTATCAGTCAAAATCGTGTGTTTTAAGAGACGAAAACGTACCGAATTCAAACTTGGTGGTAGGGTTTGCGAACAAGATCGAGTTGCTGGAGATTCTCCAAGGAATTTCAAACAGGAATAACACAACTAAAGAAAGCACACCACTTCCGGAATTTCATGAGATCGAATGTCAAAGTTCTTGAGCACTTTTGTGGAAATAAATAAGAAAAATTCATATTAATTCATATAAAAATGGTGAAAGACAAAAAATGATGAGTTCATAAACCTGAATAAAAATGATCGACGACGTATGGTGTTTTCAGGGCCCCACCCACCTATTCATCCTCTCCGAATAAGAGTTGAACCCGAAATCCACTTTCACTCAACCTGAAATCGGCTCCTTCAAAGGCATCGGTGGGAGGTACATGTTTTCCCTAGATACTGAACTCCCACCGGATTTCTTCCCAGACTTCTTGTTCTTCCGTGCGTCGACTTTCTTCTCTGTGCCACTCCGATAACGCAGACCTACCTGCGAGAGTCGGTCCACGAAAATTTCAGTCTCGGGTGATTTGGAGGTGGGACCATCGGTAGAGGAAGAATCATCGAGTGTTGCTTTCATTTTGAAGGAGAAGGTTAGGGGCAGCGGTGTGTGGGATCTGAGTGGGGACAGAGAGCTGTAAATGGTGATGATGGATGAAGTGTTGGTCGATATGGCCGGTACATCATCGTCGTGCGGGCCTGAAGAGTCGGTGTGGGTTGGAGGTAGTGGAGGTGGGTGAGGGGCGGAGACGAAGGAGAGAAGATATTAGAGAAGAGATCGAAACGAATGTAGAAGAAAACAGCGGGGTCTAACATTTTTGGGGATTTCTAAAATTTTTGGGGATTTCATTTTCCCTCTAAAGGAGAGACACGCGTTTCCTTAAAAATATAAAATGACATTCATAGTCAACGCACATTTTAGATAAAGTGCCCTCCATGTTTTTAGTTTTTTTACATGAGACACTAATTTAAGGGCACGCAATAATGCATGACCTAAATCCTTAAATTTTTTGAAGAGATTACACTTTTTTAATGTCACTCTCTTTTGCGTAACATAAATCAATGAGCGTCGTGGTTTGCGCGTCGTAAAAGGGTCTTTTTCTTGTAGTGTGCGCTTGGAGCTCGACTCAGCATCCGATTGCTTCGAGTCCATAAGACGCCTATCGAAGGCGGCTTGTTGTTCCCTCAATTCTGCGAGGGCTGCATTCGTTTGTGCTTGGAATGCTTCGGCGCGAAGGTGGATGTCATTCTGCAACCTATCCAGACGGCGGATATCGGCCGTGTGGACTTGTACTTCCACGTTGACTTCTCGGATTCGGTTTGCTTGAACCCCCGATTGGTAGGACTGGTTGGCCAGCTTACCTACCATCGTCGGAAGTGCTCGGTCGGCTGAACCTCCGTCCCTGATGTCGTAGAAGTCTCGACACATACCGTAGGGAGAGCGTATCCCTTGTTGTTGGCTCCAGTGGACGAGGTGACTTCCCCAAACGGGAGTCGGTCCTTGGAAGTTCCTCCTAATGGCTGGAGGGTTGATTATCTCTGGTTCTGATTCTGTACCAGAGTCTTCCCCTCCATCTAACTCGATAGGATCTTCGTCCTCTTCCGGATCCTCCTTTATCCATCCTCCGTTGCCTTGGTTCGGGTAGTAGGGGTACCCATGCGGGTGAAATCCAGCCATTTGAATATACGAGAATAGGGTTATAAGATCTGAACAAAACTTGAGACATGTAATACTAATTAATCTATTGTATGCACCAAATACTCCTATAGTATTTAAATTGTACGTTAGATACTAGTGTCTATTTTGTTAAGTTTTGACTTGTTGCTCACTACGATCATTCCTCGATATACGTTAGTCTAATTTCGGATAAACATAGTTGATCAGGCTATATTCGTCCCAAATTTGATTACATATCTCGAGAACTAATCGTAGTGTCCAACTTGTCTTAATACTTTTGTATAGTTCTCATCATGAAAATGTGTCGTTGTATGCATGTATTTTGGATTTTCATAACCTAAAATAATCTATTTATATGAAATAAGGATTTTAGGTACGAAAACTTTTGTCAGAGACTTTGAGTCCCTAAGCATTTATAGTTTGTATATCTTATGAGGTTCGATATACATAGTTCACTACAAACATTGCTCTGATACCAATCTGTCACACCCCCAAACCGGAACGGCGGAAACGTTCGGGGGCGGATGACTTCATGTGGTAACGTAACAAATTAATACATAGTAAAGAAAGCAATAAAACCATCATATATATAGTTGAAAGTTTACATTGTTTAAAAGAGTACATGTTCAAAACCAATTACAATATAATGTCACAATATGAAATTAAACTGGCGTCGTAGCTTCCCTTCTCCAAAACCTGTTTGTTACCTGTAATTACTGAATCCCTGGGACATACAAGTAGTTTTGAAAGAGTAGATCAGCATTTAAGCTGGTGAGTTTCATAAGGATTTAATGACCATGTTTGTATGAAATGAAATGTTTTTGTTCTTTATTTTCTTGTTCCTAGAAAATCCTATATTTTCTACTAGTATAAATGTAGCCTTCTTTCAAGACCAATGTTTGTTTCTAGTAAATGTATGTACGTATAAAATTTCCAATACGTCTGAAAAAGCCCGTAAATCATTGTGTTTTTAATACTCTATGTGAGTTTTATAACCATACTATTGACAAGGAATGCCTATACACAACGTTCTTCAGGCGTTGGAATGTTCTGACGTTTGTCACCCCAAATGGTGGACTGTAGCTAACAGTCAGGGCGCGGGTTGTCAAGCCCGTATAGATCTATACACAAACACCATGCTCCCCCTCCAAGGGATTCTGGTATATAATACAGGACTTGAAATGTGTACTCGAACGTACGTGAAGTTAATGTCTCACAAAACTTAGTATAAAACAGATTTACGTGTGAAAACGTTCGTTCGTTATTGTATATGAAAGTAGCTTCTTGAAATAGTATTTCCATGTATGTAAAAGTTTGTAGTATTCTCGTAAAAATATACCTATTATAGTTTCCTAAAAGTGTGTTTTGTTTGTATAATAAACCCTTAGTGAAAATGATCACTTGTTATGAAAGGTGTAGTTTTTGTAGTGCCAAACCGACACACAGAAGTGTAGCATAAGCGAAGTATCTGATTTATATAAATACTTAAATCGTTTCTCATTTCAAAAGATAAAATGTTGTCGTGGTATAATTTGCATATGAAAGTTTCCCTTTAATAGTTTTAAATCATATATGATTCCTTTCATAAAAAAGCGTATAGTGAAAGTTTATATAACACACGATAATAATCGAGTGTTTTACTTGTATTCCCCCCCCCCTAAAAGCATGTAAAAGTACTCATAAAACATTTAAAAGTGTGAATTATAGGGGTATGAACTCAGTTGTAAGATCGGAGGTTGCGGGATGAAAACCGGACAAACTTTCGGCTCGAGAAAGTGGATTTCCTCGGGATTCTCAGGAATCTCGGGAGCACGAACGACCTTCGGGACTCGAGCAAAGTGATCGGGGCTTCGGGGTAGCACGGGCACGGAAAACGAAGCAAGAACGTAAGAGAAATGAGAGAAATGGTTTGATTTTCCCGGAACCCTCGCATCCCTTTTATAGGGGCTGGGAACCTACCTCGTACGTTGGGCGTACGCGTGTATGCGGGGCGTACGCATGCGTCATACGTGACCGAGTCCTCGATTGCCTCGGAGCTCGGATGGGACGGGGCATAGCCTCGCACAGGCGCGACGTGGACGATCCGAGGCCAAGGCCTCGCGTACGCTAGGCGTACGGGGGTTACGCTGGGCGTAACTCGGCCCTATCTGGTGTCTCCCCTTTGGATAATACCAAGGGTTTTTAATTAAATTTATATATAAATTATTTAATAAACTTCAAAAATACATATCTTCTTCATACGAACTTCGTTTTTGACGTTCTTTATATCCACACGAAGGTGAGACCATATTCTACAACTTTCGTTTAGATCCCGTCGGCAAATTCCGAAATTATTTTTATTATTTATTTTTAAAAGGTCGCGGTAAGGAAATTTCTTTAGAAATTCATAACTTCTTTATCTGACGTCGGTTTTTGCCAGACTTTTTACCGTTGAAATACCATTGTTGAGACCTTCGATTCTCGTTTAGGTCATTCCGGCCAAAAGTCGCTCGATCTCTGATTCGAGTTTTTAGCCGTCTGTCGTTAATCCGAACTTGAAAAATTCCTAACTTTCTTATACGAAGTCGGATTTGGGCGTTCTTTTTACGTACGATCACGGTTTAATGACTTCTAACATAATAGGTAATTTAATTAGTGATTTTTGGATATTTTATTTTCGAAGTCAATTTTATTACAACTAACGTGGTTACAATACTTGACTTTTTAGGTCGTTTACATGTAGTTGAAATATCGGGTTGTCACAACTACCCCTGTAACTAGAATCTTGTGGAGGGAGAACGTGACTTGAGTGTATAGATCTATACGGGATTGACTACCCCGCACCTGGCTGCTAGCTACAGTGGGATCGACTGGTCCACAGGTGACAAAAGTCATAAAATGATACTGGCCCCGTTACGAACCTTATCTAGTCTATTGTATGGTTATGAACTCGCAACTTAGATTATGGAAATTTACTTTAGTAATTAATTTACTACCTCCTTATTAGTTTTATATACGTGTTAAAACTAATGTACTTTTCAAGGATAACCAGGCTTTCAGGAAACTTCACTTAAACGCTACAAGTATGGTAGATACTTGTACACTTCATTCCGAATCGATAACCAACCAGCAAGTTTTAAGGAAAATAAAGGTTTTTCCTAGGATAACTTAACTTTCTTAACCAGGTTGTTTAACAAATGGATAACTAAACTTCTCTTATAAGAAAATATGGGATTTTCTTGGATAACAACTTTTTCAGAAAACCAAAGGAAACTTGTTCTTTTACCAGAAACAAACCATGTATGAACTCACCAGCTTTATGCTGATATTTTCAAAACTGCTTGTATTCTCAGGTCCTCGTTAGACAGGTATCTCGCAATCTTTTGGAGAAGACGGATTATTTTAGCGGTCTCGTCTTTACTTTCATTATACTAATGTATATGTAAAACATGTATTACTTCGCTTTCAAAAAAATGTAAATACTTCTATGTAATGTAATGGTTTTGTTTACTATGTTTACTATGTACATTGGTTGTGATACTTTACATGACGTCCTCCGCCCCGGAACGTTTCCGCCTTCGGTTTCGGGGTGTGACACATGCGTACTGGCCAACCAACCTAAGAACTTTCTTGTGACTTAATCCATTAAGTCCTAACGTCCAAAACGTAGATTCAAGCGTATAAAAACGTCCTAAACCATAAAGTTACAAACTTTATGCTTTTGCATGCATGGATGGGGATTAAGACACAAATTAAGTCCATAAGCTCACTTAGATGCTATCTAGCACTTTCATGGTTGAGGCTAAACCATCAAGGTCCGATTTTTATGGCTCCAAACACCTCCAAGAGCCTAAAAGGACAGCTCATATGAGACTTCTAAAACTCAAGGAACCTCAACTATGGGATCAAAATATAACATAAAACATCCCAAAATTAGATCTAAGCATGCAACGGTCAAGTTTAAAGCTTTATACCTCAAATGGGTCAAAATTGATGGTAAACTTCTGGATTTACAAGCCCTCTTCACGTCCTTACTCCTTCTTCAAACTCTTTCTTCCTCAAAATCACCAAATAACACCAAAAATGCTCATAGTAAGCTCAAAATGCATCCAATAAGCTTAGGGTTCGGGTCTAAAGTTTAGGGACATAAATTTTAGGGACATAAGGTGCTTAAATAAGGTGCAAACCCTAAAGTTTGGGGATTGCATCTGGCCAGCCTACTCCTAGCGTACGCATGGGTACGCCCAACGTACGCAGGGACTTCCCCCGCTTCGCGCCTCACTTGTCTACGCAGTGTGTACACTATGTACGCGCAATGTACGACCCTTTCCCATAAAACACATATATTATTATTTTTTGAATAAGTAGCAAAAGAAATATCTGACAACTTGGGCATTACAAAGAAAGCATCACATTTTCCTAAGGACGTGGTAGACATGAAGCTACAAGAACTTGATCAAGAATAACTAAGAGGAAGATATTAAACTAGGATCAAGTGAGAAAAGAAAGACTAGACACTGATTAGAATTGTGGCTCTAATACCATGACAATTTAGAGACTTGTATTTGGGAAAAATATTTGTTTGCTCATTCAGAAGAATCCTCAATATATACCGAATATACAAGCAAATTATCAACCTAAATTACAGATTTCTAGCCTATAAATCAGCTTACTAAATTATCTACAATTATTGACAATAAAAGACTATGATAGCAAAGATATTTTGTTGATTAATCTAAAGCATAAAATCAGCATGAAATCTGCAGTGATATCTTTGACAAAACATACAAATCAAATCTGTAAAGTGTTGACACAATAGCAATCACCTTCATATTTTCCTGAAATATAACAACCACTAAGATCGGGATAATCCCCAAAGCCATATTATCGATTACTTTCGCAAAAAGTAACGACACCTCCAAAATTGATCCAAATCCGTTGATCATTGCAAGTTGCCACGCCACCTCCATGTAAATCATAATAAATTAATAATCTAGTAAGCTATCTTCCCAAGTTTAGAATTAACCATTTCACCCTGCAAATTATTCCATGGACCGTCAACAAAAGTGCCAAAATGAGTACTTGATGCCACTAACGACGGGTATCATTTTTAACACCACATAGAACATTATCCCTTACAATTAATGTACACCTTCTGAAATAATAAAAGAGATTTTAATTCTGTCTGCACTTGACATTGTTCCTTATAAAAATTATTACACAACTTATTTTGCAATGGTTAGAGATTATATATATCAGGTACGTATCTAATTGTGTCACCAATTTAAACCCATCTGAACATTTCCCCATTTTAACACTTTCTGAAATGATAACAGAGACTACAGTTGAGATTGTTCCTTTTAGAAATCAGTATACAAATTATTTTGCAATGGTCAGATAATATATACTATTGTGTCGCCACTTTAAAATGTATTAGATTGTTTTTGCTAGCTTTCTTCCTCTTCCACATGCTTTTAAAAAGTACCAATGACAATCACTTGATGATGTCATGCGAATGGTATATATGTCGGGTGGCCCAAGCAGAGAGTAGCACTCCTCTGGTTGACCATAAATATGAAAAAGGAAACAAGAGAACAAAAATGTGTCTGTTCTATAATCATACAGAATCAAGAAGCATAACCAACAACATTATGAAATTAGGGGCTTCTATAACCAAAAGAGCGGCATGGAAATGGACAAACTTGTGACTACAAAATTCACTTTCCCAGTTATATAACTTTGAATTTCACCTTACTGAACATTAAAACATGAGAATCATGAGAATCATGACAACTCAGCAATTAAATTACAGTCTTTTCTCTCAATCACATGAACCAAACAACAAAAAATTAACAAATATATAAAATAATAAAAACAACATTACGACTTACATCATATTCATTACATGTGTATTAATTAACTCAAAAACCATTCATATTGTTTTCCCCTGTTTTTGGCAATCAAGGATACAACTATCAAAACAAAAAACAAAAAGATAAATCGTTACTAAAGGTGACAATAAGCAACCCATCTTAATTCTTCTGGAAAAAATTAGGATATAACTCATTGAGTTTCATGCTATTGATTTAAAGTAGCATTTGGTTACCCATCTTATTAAATGCATCTATTTTGAATTCAGACAACCATCTTTCTCAAGAATTTTCATGTCAAGGACGAGACCTAGAAGATTCCCCCTTGCCCTGTGAATAAAGGAAAAGTAAGAAAATTTTAAAAGTTATATAACTATATAGAGATATGATACAAAATGCTATGAAAACAGATAGAAACTTAGGAGTATGTATATTATATTACATTTTCTTAATTCAAAAGACTTAATGAGTCCTCGTGACGCCATAGTCGACTATGTTTTCATGGCTTCTTAGATTTTTTATTAACATCTCTCCAAAACTCTTGAAGAAATTTATACATTCTTAACCTGTTGGTTGGTCCTATCCTAAGAAGACCTCTATTAATAACACTCCATAAAAAAAAAGTAATATGCTTAAACAATTCCTTATTGTTTTCTAGAGTGTGATAGATTGTTATTAGCATGGTAGACCTGTAAACATCTATTATAGATTGTGCATTGAATGGAAAGAACTCAACCCTAGTGACTTCGAAACATGATGACAATACAATACAACAAGATTTCTTTAAGTTTGTTCGTAGATATATGTGAATCAGCTAAATATACGTGAAAGATGTTAATGAATAGCAATAGAAGACTACAACGCCTAAATGAATGCAAAAATTATAATAGTCACTAACTGAAACCCTTGACTTGTGTAGTATGCTTGTTAGCAAGTTGAAAAGGCTTCAAGTGAAAAAATATAAATCTTAAACTTATGTCTAGTCTAGGAGGTCAATGGTAAACAGTGAGAATTGTGATCTAAATATCTAAATATCTTAGCAGTTTATCACTACACATGATATTCATGGAGAAGTAGCATAACACGAAAAAATTGTTTGTTCAAAGTCCAATACAATTCGGTGGGACCATTTCCATTGATTAGAGGGAATCCAATGAATAATGATCTCTGGTAGTCAAATAATAGTTCAAAATTGTATAAAGTTTTTTGGAGGAAATACAAACTACGAAGTGAACCCCAATACATTTGGGGTAAATTAACCAGAGATAGAGTCCGCGGAAAGTTGGGTTCCAAAAAATGTGATAAAATTTTGGATTCTCTATCAAAGAAGTTCCACAAATTCATAAAAAAATCCAAACAGAGGAAATCATCTTTTAGAAAAGATTACAAACAACGTACAACCTCCATTTAACACTTTCCAGAATGCTACCCCACAGTATAAACCTCCAAAGATGAAGAAAGTTTAAACCACCATAAAATCTGAAGTGGCCATGCTGTTAAGTTTCACAGATATGGCCGAAAAAATCATTTTTCCAATGATTTCAATGTTAAAAAAAAGTTGTGAAGCATGAATCATATAATTTCCAGAAATATCAAGAAGTTAAGACAAATGAGAAAGTGCACATGCATGGGAAAAAAGTTGTGGAGAAATATCAACTCAAGTGGAGATCCGGTCATCATCTGATGAGAACTCTAATAAACAAGCCCACTTCTTCCTTATGGTCACTACTCCAATATCAACAAACTTATTAAAGGGTCAGAAATCAATTCAGATTCAAAAAAGCCGAGGAAAATGAAATGTAGGTAAATGAATTGGTGGATGTTCAGAATGAGGAAGAGGCCCTTAGGGCCAATATTAAGCTTGTATTAAAAAAGTACAGTAGACTAGTAGAGGCATTGTATGAGGTTTTGACAGAAGAGGAAACTCAATTGTATGATTAAAATTTAAAAAAAATAATAATAATAAAAGATAAATTTACACGATAGCGTCAAACATTTGATCGTAAATAAATAAAAACCAAAAGACCTTGATAACAACCAAAAACACCGAATTTAGAGCCCTAAATGAAGGAATTAGGTATCGTAATTCGTATGCACCCACTCTAAGATTAAAAGTTAGAGAATATTAGACAAATTTCATTCCCTATCATATCAGCCCCAACTATGTTTTGATGTTGTCTTTTTCAAGCATCCATTGCAAGGTTATAACTCCTTTTATTTTATTACATCCTAAGCCATTCAAGAAATTTGATGACAACATCTTTGGTTGTGTATGCCTTTTATTCATTTGATGAGAGAAAGGTTTGGGTGTCAAAAATGTATACCTCACGTGCGCTACCAATCGTGCTAGAATTTCTTTGAGAAAAAGCTCTGAACCAATACTTTTCGTTTTGTTCTGAAAACAGACAAACAGTTATGTGTTAATTAACATAGAAGGTTTGATGATTTTGTATTGGGTCCCAATATTTATGTCATCCAACATATGATGACTTAATCAGTTAACATAGACCCATTCAAACAGATCACTTTAAAAAATTATAAGTAGAAATTTTATTTTTCATATTTTATAAAAACAAACTCTTATAGTAGAGGTCAACAAAATCAATGATAAATGGGTGGATTTTGGTTTATGAAACATTTATTTATCTACTAAAAATAAATAAGTCATTACAAATAAGACATTACGGAAATGTATTTAACAACAATAACATCTACCTTGAAAGTTGGGGCCATCAGTAATGAATTTCCGATGATATGGATACAATTCAATGCCAGTCTCAAAAAAACGTGTGTTGTTTAGGAGGTATTCTCCGGTTGTTGTTTGAAAAGGAGAGAGATCTCCACCAATTATGTGATTCCATGACTTGTAATAACCCAACACATCTTCTTCTTCATCCTTCTTCTCTCCATCTTCATACACAAGACTCACCCCACACTCCTTTATAACTTCACCATATGGTTCTGTAACAGTAATAGTAATATGGTCACCAGCCTCCATTTCATTCATCCCAAACATCCAATGACTTAACATCACCCAACACTTTAGACCTTCACTAAATTTATCCCTGTAACGTTCGTATATCCACCTACGGTTTTTTGTTATATTACTAATTGTCATCATTGGCGTAATGGGGAACTGACCATATGATAAATAAAAACACTCAGCAGAAGGTTCTGATGTTTGTATAGAGCAGAAGTTGAGTCCTGTAAGGTTGTTTGGAGATGATGATGATGATGATGGGATGGTAAATGATATTGATGGTCCCACACTTCTATGCCTAAACCAACTCGGCATCTCCTCCGCCTCATACAATGTGCTGAATATTGCAAATTCGTAAATCATCATCTGTCAAATATAACCACCTTAGTTAATCACATTAATAATAATATTATACATATTCACATAAATACTAGACAAAACCTCGATTTTAGATTCTGAAGAATTAGTTCTCACGCGTCTTTCATTAAGGAAGTCTAAATTAGTCCAGCCCAAGCGATGTAATACTTTTTCCTCAACACTAGCCATTGGTTGGATTTTGACCACACCTTCAATTTCGTACGACCCACGTGTGCAATCTACCGAAGATAAGTAATTTAACCAGTTTACGGATAGCTTGAGTGGGCACATTTCTGGATCAAATACAACTTTTTTTACATAATGCACATCAAAAGGATTAATAGACAACTCTCTTAGTGTACGTGGAGGATACTCGACTGACTTCAATTTTTTACAATTCTCCATGCTAAGTATCTCAAGTCTAGGAAGGGGTTCTCACACAACTAGGCATGGAAATGATAGGATTACCATCTAAATATAAATGCCTTAACATGGATAGGCAACTAAAGTCTGTGGGAAAGGATTCATGGGACAATTTATTATTTGCAAGTGACAACCTTACTAAAGACCTCGGTAAAGACATTGCAAAGGACTTCAAATCATGTGGTATGGAACCCACAAAGGAAGAGAAAGAGGTTTCTTTTGTTTATGTGAATGTTGTTAACCGTGAATATTTCCAGTGAATCCACATCCATATTCTTGATTCGAGATTCATCAAGATTACAACCATCTAGCAACACTGTTTTAACCTTCTTCAACTTCCCTATATTTCTTGGAAGTTTTTCAAGCTTCTTGCAGTAGCTCAGATCAATGAGGACAAGTTCAACACATTGCCCAATTGATTCACAAATATCAAGCAAACCAATGCAATTTCTAAGTATTAACCTCTCAAGCACAGGCAGTTGATCAAAGTCACTAACACTATGAAGTTGTTTGCAGAAACTTAAATTAAGAATCTTTAGTGAAGCAAACAATATTTTCTCTTTTAAGCACGATCCATCCACCTACAAAATGGAAATAAGTTAGTATAGTATTGAATTTGATCAACTCACGTGGATGAATAATAAATCAAGATAGGTTTACCTTTTGCCTCTTCTCAAGTCGTTGTGGATTACTATAACAACTTACAAATGATTCGATATTGCTATATGACATGTCAAGACCAACAAGATTCACTATAGGTAATTCTGCAGGTATAGACTTTAAATGAAACCCATGCATACATAAGCCTCGTAAATTCTCTGGAAAGTTCTCATAAGACCCATACATGTGCACATAATTGAGTTGTAGTAACATAAGACTATCCATGTTACTCAATGCATCTGTTTTCAGCTCAAATGATGCTCCCAACTTCTCTTTCTCAAGCATGCGCATGTCAAGGGCAAGGCCTAGAAGATTTCCCTTACCCTAAGAAGAAAAAAAAAGGCAAATAAGCAAATTAGGCAATGCAAAATATTTTGGGCGTTCAGACTACTAAAAGTATACATGGCCTCTTACCTTTTTTTGTTTCAACACTCTGAATGACTCCTTATGACACCATAATCGACTTTGCTTCCATGGCTTGTCAAGTGATTCTTGACGTACTTCAAATCTTCCCATCTCTTGGACCAACTGATGCATCTTCAATTCATTATTCGGTCCAATACTAAGAAGACATCTGTCAATGAGATTCGTGATTCCGGATCTTGTGTTTATATCACATGCCTCTAATATTGTTTCGCTAACATCTCTATCTGTTCCGACGAAAAAACAAGCAATATGCTTAAACAACTCCTTATCGTTGTTTGATGGCAAAGTGTCGAAGCTCATTCTTAAGACATTATTTATAGGGGAACTAATTTCTTTCTTTAGCCCTTCCATGCACCCTTCCCAGTAAGCCACATCCCGATTATACAGAGACTTACCCAAAACTTCAAGAGCCAATGGATGTCCCTGACAATACTTCATAAGCTTATCTGTCACCTCTTCATAACCTGCCTTGGGATGGTTACACATAAACGCATGGGAACACAAAAGTTGTCGTGATTTAATCTCATGTAAGCCTTCAAGGAAGTCTTTTACATGTTTGGGTTTAATGTTTCTTTTGAATAGTTCACAACTCTCTGTCAACCATTTGTCCTTTGTGGTTATTATAACTTTGCTTCCGGGATGAAAACCTTTGCTTCCAAGTAATGCATCCAACTGAACAAGGGTACTGATATCATCAAGAACTACAAACACCTTTTTACGGGCCAGTGCATTTTCTATCTTTGCGGTGTATATCGAAACATCATGAAATTTAATTGAACTTGTTTTTGAAATGTCATTGCAGAGTTGTTCTTGTAAATCAAGCAACCCATTAAACTGTTCATCACATTTCCTTGTGATATCTTCAATGAAGCTACTTGTGTGGAATTCACGAGAATATAGCCCATAGACATGTTTGGCTAATGATGTCTTCCCGATCCCGCCTATACCATAAATAGTAAGTATGTCTGCCGTATGTGAGGATCCATCTTTCAACCATGAAGTGACAAAATTAATATGATATTCCATCCCAATAAGAAATGACCGAACACTCCCTAAGGGTATACGTAATCGACGGTAGATGTCTTTTACAATTTCTTCGATTAAATCACTCTCAAACCTGAAAGTTGATTTAAGAAGAACTTCAATGCACAATCTACAAACTAACAAAGCAGATTTGGATATTTAATTCATCTAAAGATCTAAATCGAAATTATATAATAGTTAGTACTTTTAATAAGTTTTTCACATCAAAACCATATTGTGTTTGAACTTACCATATAAGCTAGTGAGGTCATAAATATATGTATAATAAGACCAAAGCTACAAATGTAATACAAGATTTCACTAATGGGTCATCTAACTTTATAAGGATCGTATCCCAGTACCACGCACCACACATGTGAGCCTAATTTGGATAAGCCCAATGAGCCTCAGCCGTGGATAGTCTATAGAAAGAAAAGATACAAGGATACGTGTAGAGTGAAGAATGGATATCTTTTACTTACATGTAAGAGAAGTTATTTAATCATAAAAACGAGTGTTTGGAAGTGGTATTGTATATTTAACAGTAGACGCAAATCAAATGGTTAAAATTTGGTTTTTAATAGAAGCATATAAAAATAAGTGAAACATTTATCTAAATGAACTAACCTATGATAAAATACTAAATGTGTAACAAGTGTGAAAAAACTATCGTAAAAGTTAATCTATCTATATAAACTGATTTATGGGATCACATAACAGGATACTTAGATTCATTTTGTCATCCCCATTATTAAGGAATGAAGAATATGCGAATTTGATGATACTAAAAAAAATTATTGAATGCATATGGGGAATGTGGTAATGAAATTTCATGTGTTTACTCAAACAAAGTTGAAGGTGTATGAAAATATGGGTAAGAAAGATGTTACCTTCCTTTTACATCCTTTCCTTTTAAATTAGCAACTTCTACAAGTGCCTTACTCCACCGGTCCATCTTTTTAGCCCATTGATTTATTTTAATTGGATTTGTCTCTACCTTCATCATTTGTTTATGTTTAGCCATGGCATCTCCAAAGCTACTTTGTTGCTTCCTAACATGGGTGGGCTCCACATGATAAAAGATGGGGATTACAATATGGTCAGAGGACATACGTTGCTCAAGGATCATCACCAATTCATCGAGGCACCATGTTGAAGAAGCGTAATTCTTAGACAATACGATAATAGAAGCCCGAGATGCCTTAATTGCGCTCTCTAATTCTGGTTTTAGATCTTCCCCTGTTTCAATCTCTTCATCATCCAAGAAGGTATTGATATTGGCATCTATAAGGGCCTCATAAAGATAATTAGTAAAACTAAGACGAGTGTCAACACCTCTAAAACTTAAAAATACATCATATCTATCATCCTGAGTTGATGATCTAGGACCACATGTTGATATAATATGGCTATGAGTTGATGAAGAAGGTGAAGATCCTTTTGGAAGTTCAGATAGAACAACCATTACGAGTTATGTGTCGATGACTCTTCACCCTTCCCAAGATTTTCAAAACTCCTCCACATGTTATTGTTTATGAAAGTCGGTTTCACCAGCTTTCTTCATGCTTCGACATCACGATCCGGTACATATATAATGTTTCTACATAAAATTGAAATAATATTAGTTACAATATGCAACTTAAGTCTCAGCAAACAATTAAAAGCTCAATAATAATAATCATATCTTCGAATTATTTAAAAATAAAACTTTTAAGTGATTAAAATACAATACATATGTCCCTCTAAACTTTTCATACGAAATACACCTGCAAAATGTTTAAATTTCATTGTATAAACCCTAATTGTAAATATGTTGACTTTTATCCCCAGCCTTTGAGTTTTGAATTTGCTTTTGGAGCTATGTAGTAAAAGACCAATGTGGTTGCACTCCAAGAATCCGAATAACTTAGAATAATATTGGTTCAATGCGGAATAAGATCAAAATATCAAACAATAATCAACCACCAATGAAAAATGAATGAAAACGATACATAAAAAAGATACAATGATTCACATGGAAAACCCAAATCTGGAAAAACCATGAGGGTGGGAAGCCGAAAAACAATCCACTGTAACTTCAGTGTTTACAAAATTGGAACAAAAAGATTACAAAGAGCTAAAAATGGTGATGTATATTTTTGTGATGATCAAAATGAACTGGTTCAGACCTTCAGCGTTATATATTTCTTGTGACGTTTAAGTCACTACCCAACACGAGGAATATTTAGTACATGCATATTAATGGAGCCACCAAACACCTTTTGAAAAGAAGAGAAAGTTGTCGTTGAATCTGATTCCTCATTAATTGCATCTACCACAACCGTTTAATGGTGAAAACATGTCACGTCAAGTTAAAATTTTAGTCCTTGAAATATCGAAACTTGACAATTTTGGAAGGCATAATTTCCACAAAGCTATATGGTGCATAATGTGTATACGTATGTTTTAACCTTTGCTTTTGATTTTTACGTTAAAGGCCATTCTAAACTCGGTTGGAATACATAGAGAGGCAGGTACGTTTTCTCTTTTCAAGCCAAAAAGGGCTATTAAAGTATTAATCATTGCAGTAACACTTATGCGACAAGTTTTTGGAAGCTTTAACCAACATATATATGGCTAAGTATTGATATAGAATACCCATTACACAGCCATGAGAATTAATTAAAACTCATTTCCTCAAATAATTGAACTGGTTAACCTGTTTTTACGTCTAAGTTCATGTGCCTATATTGATTCATTTGACCTACAACGTCCCTATTTTGATTTACTTAACCCACATAAACATCCCCACTTTTGTCTAAATGAAATCGATTTTTAGTTCACTTAGGTAATCCTCAAACAAATCAACACCGAATATCATTGTAGAGACAACTACAAGATCCACTATTACCTTCCATGAAAGGAACTGCAAAACATATAGCCAATTAAAAGATCAAAACCATAAACAAAAAATAAATAAATAAGTTTCTTGACTTGTCAGTTTATAGATCCGCAACATTAGCTAAGAATAATCTTATCAAATTTCAATCTCCATCAATAGATCTAGTATCAGCATACATTTAAAAGATTTGCACTAGCATTGATGGGCTTGTTCCAAATGATAAAATTTTCTATTTTAGACGAAGAATTTACACAAAGTTTTTTTCATAATTCTAGACTTCACGCAAGAACATGCCCGACTGTGTTCTAAAACTAAACAAAAGTAATTGAAACATAAAGATATTTTTCAATCACCTATTAATAAAATAAAAACAACTAAATATGATGTGATTTATGGTTAATAAGATGAAATTGTCTTAATATGTGAAACTAACTTGTAAGCGTGTGCCTCCATAGTTACTGTCTTACCAAACGGAAAATGTACGTGAAACGGCGACGATAGAGGACGAACAAGCGGCCACAAGGCCGAGAAAGATGAACGGTAAAAGAGAAATAAAGTCAACGGCAGGAAACAGCGAGTCAACGAGAACAGGGAGGGAGACGGCGAGAGAACTGAGTCACCGTGGTTCTTTTCTACAAGTGGATAGGGGATTTTAAGGGATGGCAAGCCTCGAATTCTTATAGACAAACTAAGATATTTAATTATAGCTTTTGATTGACTTTCGTATTTTAATTTTATTAAAATGAAAGAATTGACAGTCAATTTTTATTTGGATATTTTATTTAGATATTTTTTTATTAGTTCTACATACTTTATTGGATATAAGTGGTTCTATATAATTTATTCAAAATTTCAAATAGTTTCATATTACACGCTATTAGTTTTTAAAATTTTATTATATATTTATGTAGTGACAAAGTAAAAACTTTAGATACGGGGATTAGACCTGGCAAAACCTGATACGATACAACAATTCAACACGAAATTAGCAGGTTTAGGTAAGACTTTCAACATATAGGCAGTGTTCTAAAAGGCGCGCCATGGCGTGAGGCGTGGCTTCGCCGTTACGAAAAGCTTCATAACGTTGTTGTTAGGCGTGGCGCGTGGCAAGGCGTGATATGGCGCGTTATGGCGTTTTATGACGCTTGTTTTTTCGTTTGAGACACAGTTTTTTGCTCTTTGTTATGTCTTTTCAAATCAGAGATACTAGTATTGTGGTTTTTGTTAACTTTTTGTTATTAGTTATTGATCTAACACTTCTAAAAAGTAGTTATATTTTTAATATAAATTTATATTTATGTGGTAATATAATTTTAAATTAATACAAAATCGCCGTCTTACATCACGCCTTGAAAAACGCCATGGCTCGTTAAGCTTGAGGCTTGGCCTTGCCGCCACGTCACGTCTCACGCCATTTAGAACCTTGCATATAGGGTTAGGGTCAAGACTTTCAACTCGAATATGACTTATGACTCGTTTAATAATATATCATTTTTTATAAATTTCATATTTTTATAAATATATAATATATTACAGACTTGTAGTGGGCCCAACACAAGAACTAAAATTAAAATTCAAACATTTAAAGTGACTTACTCATGCTCACCACCAATCCCCTTGGCTCTCCAACTCTAACTATTACTACGAACTTTATCATTTCACCTCCTAACTTCAGTGTTTCGCTTTTTCCTTTTCCTATCTCCGTCTCTTAGTTTCCAACTTTTAAAATGTTTCAACCCTACATGACACAATATATTTACAAGGTAAACCTTTACCCGAAACCCGGCATGAAATTAACATGCAAATAAATGGGTTAACACAACACGATAAATAGCGAGTCAGGTTAGGGTCAATCCCTCTTAACCCATTTTATGTCTTGACACGATACGACACGACACGTTTGTCCGGTCTAATAAGAATACAAACATAAACATAATTCAAAATAATAATTTCATAAATTTAATTATTATTAAATTCATTCATTCAAAAATCATAATATAAACAAAAATTACAATACGAGCGACAACTACGGCAAATTCACAATGATGCAATGTGATATTTCAACGTTTCTAATGTTGATTATTTTGATAACTTAATCTTTATATGCAGAAGCTTAGAAGTCAAACGTCATACTCGAATATGTATGAAAGAAATCAAACGGAAGAAGAAGAAGAATATGTACCTTCTTCCATTGAAGCTTTTGGATCTGATGAAGAGACTTGGTTTTCTAGTTGATCTCAAGACTTCCTCCAAAACCCCTTTGCAAACTCTAAAACAAATTTATTTGTGTAATTTTGTGTGTGTTGATTTGCTCCTCATCACATGTATTTATAGATGGAGATAAACCTTAATATGATAAATGGAAGAGATCTTGAGGATCTTGAGTCAAACCGGGAACTTAAGTCATAAATGTTAAGTGAATATCAGTCCATCAACAATCTTATACACTTAAAATAAAATTTCTGAATTTAAATTATATATATATATATATATATATATATATATATATATATATATGTGTGTGTGTGTGTGTGTGTGTGTGTGTGTGTGCGCGCGCACATTTATAGAATGGTCCTATGATTTTCTAACAATCTCCCACAGGACCATGAATATATAAATGTACATATAAACATGTTAGCATAAACATGACAAAAGATTACAAATGACACCATAGCATAAACATGTTGTTTCCAACATATTCAACAATACCACATTTAGCAACAAGAAGATAATTAAAGGTAACACCACAATACATGGAGAAACATTTCAATTTCTTCATGTAGGACCTATTGGTATGTGGCTGCTTAGATGGAATTTTAGCAAATCTCTTTACATAGGAGAAACAAAAGTCTCTTTGGAGAAAATTTTGTATAAGTACATGCAGCAACTCAGATGTATCATCTGATACAAGTAGCAATTTGAAAAAACTGTCATCATTTGTTGAATTAATATCAAGTCACATCATCAGTTACTAATTCAAGTGTGACATATACAAAAAGAAAAAGCACACTAAAAATGTAAAAAATTTGAGTAAAGGATTGCTTATGAGTAATTAATTAAATACCTTTTTAAAATATGCAAACTAACTCTTAACTAGAAATATCCTTCCTGCCACCATTAACATACATCGTGTCCCCATATGGTCTGTCAAAAAAAAACAAAATAATAAAAAAAATTAATCATTTATAAAGTCCTCAAAATATAGTCAAGGATTGTTTCTTTTTCTTTCCCATTACGCCCTCTATGGGTAATATCGTAACGTATGTTTCTTTTCTACACCGTCTGAATGAGACTAAATTGTCATTTTACCCTTACATTCGAAAAAATAAAATTCACAATATTCATCAATTTTAATACATTAAGCCATGTATAACTATCAAGATTAAGTTGTTTCTTTCTAGACCGAATAAACCGTCTGAATGAGACTAAATGACCATTTTACCCTTATAAATTTTACAATATTCATCAATCTTAACACATTAAGCCATGTATAGCTATCAAGATTAAGTTGTTTCTTTTTAAACTGAATAAAACCGTCTGGATGAGACTAAATTACCATTTTACCCTTACAAATTTCAAAATATTCATCAATTGTAATCCATTAAGCCACGTATAGTTATCAATAAACCGTCTAAATGAGTCTAAATGACCATTTTACCCTTGCATTCCTAAAAACAAATTTCACAATATTGATGAATCTTAATACATTAAGCCATGTATAGCTATCAATATTAAGTTGTTTCTTTTCTAGACCTAATAAACCGTCTGAATGAGACTAAATGACCATTTTACCCTTACAAATTTCACAATATTCATCAATCTTAATACATTAAGCTCTGTATAGCTATCAAGATTAATTTGTTTCTTTTCTAGACCAAATAAACTGTCTAAATGAGACTAAATAACCATTTTACCCTTACAAATTTCACAATATTCATCAATCTGAATACATTAAGCCATGTATAGATATCAAGATTAACTCATAAAGGTCAAAAAGGTAAATTTACCTTGGGTTTTTGACATGAAGCAACAAGAAGATGAAGGTAATGAGTATGGAAGAAGAGTCGACAAAAATATAAGCCACCTCAAGAAAACTATTCTTTTGTCACACCCCCAAACTGGAACGGCGGAAACGTTCGGGGGCGGAGGATGTCATGAACAGTATCACAACAATTGTATAATAGTAATCAAAGCAAACCCAACCATTACATTGATAAAGTAAAGTATTTACAACTATTCGATACATAGTTTGTATTACATTAAAAGTGTATAACAAAAGTATAAAAGATACGACACTAAAAGCTTCGTCTTCTCAAAACCTGCGGGTGTACCTGTCTACTGGTTCTTTGAGAATACAAGTGGTTTTGAAAGTGTATCAACATTTAAGTTGGTGAGTTCATAAGTATGTTTTTAAGATGAAAATCTTGTCTTTGTTCCTTGAAAATGTTATAGTGTACTTCCAGAAAACCCAATATTTTCTTTAGTAATGAAAAGTAGTCTTAGGCCTTAAGACCATAATGTATGTTTGTTACTGTATTCTGTAATAGTATATGTAGTCTTATTAATGAAAAAACCATATCATGTATGTTTCCCTAAACTGCATGTCGTACTAGTGTACTCTATACTAGGAAAGTAGTGTATCGTAGTAGTGTTTGTATGAAAACCCTTGTATGAATGTCTAGATACCACCATCTGTAGTGTATAGTAGTGTACTATTTGTATGAAAACCTTTGTATGAATGTCTGGATACCATCAGCTGTATTGTATAGTAGTGTATTGTTTGTATGAAAACCTTTGTATGAATACATGGATACCACCAACTGTAGTGTATAGTAGTAGTGTTTGTATGAAAACCTTTATATGAATGTATGGATACCAACAGCTATAGTGTATAGTAGTGTAATGTTTGTATGAATGCCTGGATACCACCAGTTGTAGTGTATAGTAGTAGTGTTTGTATGAAAACCTTTGTTTGAATGTCTGGATACCACCAGCTGTAGTGTATAGTAGTGTACTGTAGTTTTATTAATTAAAATAAAATAATTGAAGTAGTGTTAATCCCGTAAACAAATGTTTTAGTTAATACTGTTGTGAGTTTCATATAACCATGCTAAACTGACTAGGGGCCTCTATGACGTTCTTCAGGTGTCGGAATGTTATGACGTTTGTCATATCAGGCCTGTCGGCATAACTATAGCTAACAGTTTAGGTGCGGGGTTGTCAATCCCGTATAGATCTATACACAAAGTCACACTCTCCCTCTAGGAGACTCTTGCTATAATTTATAGGACTTAGACTTGTACCCTAATGGGTAGAATTGAAGTAGTGTCTCACAACCCTATATTTACTAGTTTACGTGTAGTGTAGTAGTGTTCTCTTGTACTTGAAATCATATGTATCACCTTGTAGTAGTGTACTTTATAATGTAAAATAATTATACTTAAATAGTTATTTAGCAGTGTATCCTTGAATCATTGTAATAGAGTGGTGTTCCATAAACTATATTTATTATAGTTTATATTCTTGTTTCTGTATAGCGTTCTTGAACTTGTAAAATAGTGTAGTGTCTTCCCAAATATACCTATTATAGTTTAAATGTATGTTCTTTTTATGTGTATTGTACTTAGCAAAATAGTGTAATAGTTCACAAACTATACCAATTATAGTTTAAATGTATGCTCTGTAATATGCTGAAAACCTTTGCAATTTAACTGTATGTATAAAGTAGTAGTCAGAAACTTGTGATAAACACCCTTTTGCTCGACATGTTACAAATGGGTTAAAAATATATAAACATATATTTTTATAAAATGTAGTAATAAATCGGCTTGAATCAATTGCAAATGGTTTTGAAATCGTATGAATATCCCCCCCCCCCTAAAAACATTGAAAAATAGTGAAAACGTAGGAGTATGAACTCACCACTAGTACGTGTTTGTGTTTGGGTAGCGAGACTGAAGAGATGATCCTCGGGCTAGCGTACGTGGAAATAGTGGTATCCTAAAATTATTTAAACACGTAATCGTATTTAAATTAGCGTGATAATTATTTTAAGTGTTAGACAACACTTAATTTATGTAAGGAAATTTCTCACAAGAATTACTGAGAATTGTATGAAGTGTTGATGAGGGTTTTCGGTCTTGCATCCACCGAAATCCTTTGATTTTGGTCTTAAAACCTTAACTGAGAACCAAGTTCATGGCTTTAGAGAGTTCTCGGTCCTGAATGAGTTTTCGGTCCAGGGAGTTTTCAGCTAGCTTGAAGATTTGAAGATTGTTCTTGGTGAAAATTATGAAGATTTGAAGGATTTTTCTTGAAGATTGGAAGGTTCTTGTATGGTACTTGGGAGCAAAATGAGAGTGTTTTCAAGTGAAAAAGTAAGAAAATGAGTTATTTTTTGAGGAATATATATATATATATATATATATATATATATATATATATATATATATATATATATATATATATATATATATATATATATATATATAACGGTTGGGTTTTGGCAGGAAAGGGGATTTCGGTCCGAAGGGTTTGCGGTCAGAGGGTTCTCAGCCGAAAAGAGGTTTTCGGTCTGAGGGTTCTCAGTTCCAAAGGGAAAAACTTTGATTTTTAAGTGTATTTTATTCCAAATACTTATATAAAAACATCATTTATATAATTTAAATCATTTTTAACCCTTATGATCATAACCAAATCAACAAAAATCGAAATTTTATTTAAAAATATTTGATTTGTATTGACTAGAAAAATAACGGGTTGTTACATCTTTCCATCTAACCAACTTCCAAAATGTGTACATAGAAAGTTACAAGTGTGAAAAAAGTCATACTAACTCTCTACAGTACTTACCTTATTTATAGGGTACTCACGGAATCAAAAAATACTAGGACTCGACATCAAACTATGAAACACTTAAGTACCTTGTAAATACATTAGATAACAAAGTCAAGAAAACCTTCTCTATTTACTAACGATTTTCAATTAATACATTAACTAAGGTTCGTCATCTCACAACAAATAGAGACTCTACAGAGGAAGAAGAAGCTTAAAGCTACGGTTTTTAGTGGGAGAGGAAGAGAGAAAGAAAAAGTTAAAACAACTAGCTAAAAACTTATGCAAAAGCCTTTCTTTTATACTCTCATGCAAGGCATACCTTAGATTATAATAATATAAAATATTAGTAGCTTTTTGAAGCATGGGGAAAAGGAGGAATATTGACAAGAAACCTCCCATGTCTGTAATCTTCGGACATGCCTTCAAAGAAGACAAAAAATTTCTAGCTAGTTTATTAACCATAGTATACAAACTCACTAATTTGATGATGGTTAACCAAAATGTCTAAAAATTTGTACATGATTTATTTTATCATACTCTATGATATAATAACTAGTTATGCTCTCTTTTAATTATTATTTTCACAAAACAATAATTATTCCTTAATTAAATACAAAAATTGATATTATTTATTAATAATCATATTAATGATAAATATATAAAATGTGCCAACGTGGTAAATGCGTGAGTTTATAGGATCATACATTATTAGCAATATCACTCAATAATGATTTTTGGACATATAGATCCAATAGAGACAAAGTGGCTATCGGTGATATTTGTGTTCTTCATGTTCCAACCACCTCTTAGTAGGCTGTCATTTTCACCAAACGACTCTCATCCTCATTATTTATTGACTTTAGATACAGTCTGAACATTCAATCCCACCGCTACAATTGTTGGAGGATGTTAGTGTATTATATTTGTGTATGTATTATGGTAGCCCATTAGTGTACACCTTCATTTCGTACAGGCTCAAGGTCTCATTTGTAATCTCTTCTAAATATATGTTTTCCATGTTAATGAGAATATTCATGGGAATTACACTTCGTTCGTAGCGAGATCAAGCATCGCGTAGTCATCGGGAGGTGTAGCGGTATAATTGCCATTGTTTGTACCGATTGGACGACATTGCAAAGTACTTGTATTTTACAAATTGGAGTATCAAAAAGGGAAGTCCCGGGGTAGGTGTTTCGGGTGGAAGTCATGACTCACTAAAGGAATTGAACCGATGGAGCACACAAGTAGTGAACATGGTAATTCCTTGGGTTTGGTATCACTATGGGACACATAACTACAAATGTGGTTGAAATGTTATATGTATGTTATGCGGTTAAACTAATATAAAGGATGCCACTTAAATGCATATATTTACTTATGTATTTTGCTTCCACTACCGTTAAATGGTTTTGGTTGATTGGTTTTTAACGAACATAATGTTGTGGTTTGTTTTGATATGTTTGAAATGAACAAATAGTCTTTCGTTGTGTTTTCTATTAAAATGTTTTAAACATAAATGAAAAAATCAATAAAAAGCACAACCTTACAATACGAGAAAGGGGATGTTTTTCAGAACGCATAAGGAGATGAGGTCATTGTTTTTCATAGAGGATTCAAGTAGCCATGGTAGAGACTGAATTCTTGTATTTGTAGAGAGGTTTCAATGTGTCTTTGTTATTCTTGTATTTGTGATGAATTTGTCTACCGATTAAAACAAAATCACGAGGAAATTTTTTTTAGGATTTAATGTTTTTTCGTGTGGAATTTTAATGGGTTTACAGATTTTTAGGTCTAGAACTCAACGTGGCAGACAACCCCTTGAACTCTTTGTATTTCCTTCTTCCCCTTTTCTTAAACAAAACTTATCTTTCTCTTCTAAAATATGTTTAAAATTTCCGTCCTTAAAAAAAAAAAAAAAAAAAAAAAAAAAAAAAAAAAAAAAAACATCAGTTTTTTTTTATCGGATTTATGCACCTCTACTTTGAACATTACATCGTTTACACAACGCTTTCTTTAAGATATCATTTAGATTGTATATTTTAAATAGAAGTTGATATGAGTAGACAAGTTTACTAAATTTGTTTTTAATGATAAGAATGATAAAGGTATCATTGGGGATATGCCTTTGTCCCACCTTATTCAACCTTTCTAGGTGAAATAAAAAATTGTACGTTTTTTAATTTATAAAACTCAGTCCAATGCATATCAAACACAGAACAAAATCATTATATAAAATCATTATATTATGTTTTGTCTGTCCCATGTAACAAACAGGCCCTCAACAGGATGATCTAATCAAAAGCAAAAACATTCGATCCAAGTATAACCTTTTAGCAAAATGACATCATAGCATAATCATGTTGCTTCCAACATATTCAAAAATACCACATTTAGCAACAAGAAGATAACAAAAGATATCACCACAATACATAGAGAAACATTTTACTTTCTTCATGTGGGACCCATTGGTGTGTGGCTGCCTAGGTGGCATTTTAGCAAATCTCTTTACATAGGAGAAACAAAAGTCTCTTTGGAGAAAATTTTGTATAATTACATGCAGCAACTCAGATGTATCATACGATAGAAGCAGCAATTTGAAAAAACTGTCATCATCTGTTGAATTAAATATCAAGTCACATTATCAGTTACTAATTCAAGTGTGACATATATAAAAAGATTACAAAAAGGGCACTAAAAATGTAAAAAGTTTGAGTAAAGGGTTTCTTATAAGTAATTAATTTAAATATTTAATACCTTTTTAAAATATGCAAACTAACTCTTAACTAGAAATATCTTTCCTGCCACCACTAACATACATCGTGTCCCCATATGGTCTGTCAAAAAGAAACAAAATAATAATAATAAAAGTTTTAATCAATTAAAAAGTCCTCAAAATATAGTCAAGGATCGTTTCTTTTTCTTTCCCATTATGCCCTCTATGGGTATTATTGTTTATCTAGATAAAGTGTTTACATACATAACATCTGTTTCTTTTCTACACCGTCTGAACAAGACTAAATTACCATTTTACCCTTACATTCCAAAACATAAAATTAACAATATTTATCAATCTTATTACATTAAGCCATGTATAACTATCAAGATTAAGTTGTTTCTTTTCTAGACCTAATAAACCGTCTGAATGAGACTAAATTACCACTTTACCCTTACAATATTCACAATATTGATCAATCTTAATCCATTAAGCCACTTATAGCTATCAATAAACCGTCTAAATGAGACTAAATGACCATTTTACCCTTGCATTCCTAAAAACAATTTTCACTATATTGATCAATCTTAATACATTAAGCCATGTATAGCTATCAAGATTAAGTTGTTTCTTTTCTAGACAAAATAAACAGAATAAACTGTCTGAATGAGACTAAATTACCATTTCACCCTTACATTCCAAAAAGAAATCACAATATTGATCAATCTTAATACATTAAGACATGTATAGCTATCAAGATTAACTGGTTTCTTTTCTATACCAAATAAACCGTCTGAACAAGACTAAATGACCATTTTACCCTTACATTACAAAAAACAAATTTCACAATACTAATCAATCCTAATACATTAAGCCATGTATAGATATCAAGATTAAGTCATAAAGGTCAAAAAGGTAAATTTACCTAGGGTTTTTGACATGAAGCAACAAGAAGATGAAGGCAATGAGTATGGAAGAAGAGCCAACAAAAATATAAGCCACCCCAAGAAAACTATTCTTTCCACCTAACCAACTTGATGTTGAAAGGACAAGTGTTTTTGTTCCACCAAAACTATAAGTATTATAGTTGTTTTTGAGGTGTACTATGATGATGTCATCTTCTTCTAGATCCTCTTCGATTCTTCCATAAAGCTTCCGGAAGCTTGGAAAAGCAGCAGTTCGCATCCACACAATAAGATCCTCTTGATCACTTAGCTTAATGATTTTAAGATTAAGAGAAAAGCACAAGAAATAATATAAGGAATTAGTTTTTGAAGGAAATAAAAAATGAATTTTAAATATTAATCTGATTTTTCATGGAATTTGATGGGAGTTATATCATTATATGATATAGAAAAAGGGTTATAAGAAAGTACTTCACTCTTTTTAAAAAATTGTAATTACATTTCTACTCTAATAAATAAATAAAAAATTGTCATATGTGACACTCTCATTCATTTTGCCACATGTTGTTTTAAATTAAAAAATTTCAACATGTCATTTTATGGCTTTTTTTTCCCATTTTATTAATTTCCACATGGTATTTAAATGTAATAATAAATGGATATCAATTTCATTAATACAACTTTCCTTCTAATTTCAAAATTCCTAACTGAAACCCAATTATTTTCTTTGTTTATTTATTTGAATTATTTGTTAAAATTTAAAAGACAAATAAGCACTTCAATTTCAATAATTCAATATTTTTCTCACTTTCCTTATAAATTCAAGCTTCCTAAATGTTTAGACCTTAATATTTTATTTTATTTTTTTAAATAAATCCCGTGTAGTACACATGTCTCACAACTAGTTTACCAATAACAGCAACATCCTTACACTTTCTTTAGGGTTAATCTCATAAAAAAAAAAACCTTATGTTTTGTGTTTTTTCCGGATTAAACCTCATATTTATTTTTTTCATGAAAAAGACCTTATATTTTTTCATTTTTTCCGAAAAAACACTCAACTGTCTTACTTCCAAAAAAAAAGAAACCCCTCAAACTTTTAAATGTTTCCAATAAAATCCTCAACTTTTTTAAAACCCTCACATTTTACAACCTTTTTTGGGGAAAATGACTAAAAAGGCCAAATCAGAAAAAATAAAAAAATGCAAGGTCTTTCTCATGAAAAAAATAAAGTTGAGATTTAATCCGAAAAAAAAAAAAAAAAAAAAAAAAAAAAAAAACACAAAATATAAGGTCTTTTATGAGATTAACCCTTTTCTCAGTTTTCTTTACACATAAAAGCAACTTACTTACAATTCATTACTCAACAATAGACAAAGTACAATGGAGACAACAAAAAATGTAAGTTTATTGCTATTATCGATAAAGAACAAAATAATAAAGTAAATTTTCATATCAAAATTATCGTTTTGAAGAAATATTAAATTAGGAGACTTACTGGGATAGTTGTATCAAGCTTTCCACCACCAATCAATGATCCATTTTGAAAATTGAATGGATAAACTTTGTTGCCAAATTTGTGTTCTCTATCACTCTTCCATGCAATATTTTTTCTTTCAATTTCCAATTTTTTTGTCCCACGTGAAAATGAAAACGTGTCATTAAACAAACTCCATGCAATCAATCCACAAGGAACTATTGGAAGACCATTATCGAATGCTTGAGGTTCACATGAACTTGTTTTGTTGTATCCTAATCCATGTAGAAGTTGATCATCACTTTTACTTTTCACATACCTAAATTGGACACATGTTTTAATTAATATGCATAAATCTTTAAAAATAAATAACTATCAAACTTATATGCTTTAACAAATAAGGTTGTGTTTGGTGGCACCATAGCTAGCTGATAAGCTAGCTTATTTTTCGAGCTTTTTTAAGTTGTCGTGTTTGGCAAGCTAAAAAGTAGCTTATAAGCTAGCTTTTTAAAAAATTTCAAATATAACCCTGGATTAATTATAGAAATATATTCTTTTAAATGCCCTTTTATGTCATTGTATATCTTTCAGCTAGTTTTACCAAACGCTATTTTTTTATCAGTTAGTTTTTCAGCTATCAGCTAGCTTTTCAGCTAGTACACCAAGCATAGCATAAATAAATAAAAGTACTAACCTTCTGTGATTTTGGTAAAAGTTATCAAGTTGATAATAGATGTAAATTGGAGCTTTCATATGTTTGTGTGCCTATATTGAAAATCAAAATGCATTTAAGTGAATAATGAGGTATGGATTTTGTACAAAAGTAATAATCAAAAAGTAGTCAATTAAAAACATGGTTAATCTCAAAAAAAAGATCATATATTTTGTGTTTTTTCTGGATTAAACCTCAAATTTATTTTTTGCCTGAAAAAGACCTTGTATTTTTTTCATTTTTCTGATCTGGCCCTTTTAGTCATTTTTTGTCAAAAAAAATTGTAAAATATGAGGGTTTTTTCAAGAAAACCTAAAAAAGTTTAGGGTTTATTTGGAAGCATTTAGAAGGTCGAGGGTTTTTTTCGAAAAAAAAAAATACAAAGTTGAGGGCTTTTTCGGAAAAAATGAAAAGATACAAGGTCTTTTTCAGGCGTTGAGGTTTAATCCGGAAAAAACACAAAATATAAGGTCTTTTTTGAGATTAACCCTTAAAAATAAAATAAGATATTAGACTATTAGACATTAGTATTACCTTTAGATACCTATGACAACTTTTTGAAACCGATGAATTCTTGATATAAGCTATCTTGTTGCTCTTGAAATTATCGGGTACACAATCAACATCATATCTGTCTACAATTTCATGAACCTAAAATACAAAATATCATTTCAAGATTTTAAGTCCACTTTGAAAGACTTAATGATAAGAACTAATAAGTAGAAAGAATTGCAAATTCAAAAACAAGATAAACTGCTAAATCATTTATGAGAAAAAATGGGAATTGAACATTACACTTTGTGAAGCATGAAGAGAAATTAATCCAACAGGGATAAAAAGTACACCCATCATAAAGAATGTTCCAATGACCTGTTAAAAACAACATTCAGTTTTATGTAAGAATTAAATGTGCATATATGCAACAAAGTGGTTTTTTAGAAAAGAATATACAACCATTTTTTCATTTTAGAACCAAAATATGCAACAATGATTCATCTTTTTACCAAGTTACGCAACCATGTTTCAACCAAAAAACAGGTTATCTGTAAAGTGTTGGCATCTTTTGGTCCTAATATTTGGTATATGAAACCATTTTGTTGCATGAATTAGGAAAAATGTGAAACAATGTTTGCATAAATGTGCATTTAATTAACCCTTTTAAGTAATTTATAAATAGATGTGAAGAGTGTTTATGCACTCACCCATGCTGGTGTTAGAACAGGTTTACAAGCTGGGAGAGTTTGTTGTGTGAACTGATGTATAGCTGCAAAAAAGCACAAGTGAAAAACATTTATATGATATATTTATGAAGTCAAACCATTTAAGAAAAAAAAAAAAAAAAGGTGTTAAATTTATTGACAACAAAGATAATGAACAGAATGTGAACTGATGTATAGCTGCAAAAAAAACATTCTCTTTTATCCAAAAAAAAAATCTCAGAAACTTTTATTTTACATAATGCTATGTAAACCTTGTATTATATCATATAAAACCTTTGGGGTTGCATCTAATCACCTATCTAATCACCTAAACATGTAAGCTTAGGATATGAAAAGATGAAGCTTGAAAATCACATAATGAGGACAAAAGTGCTGATAACAAGAGAAACCCTAAAACGAAGGCTAACTTGCAAGATTCAAGAACAATCATAACGGAATAGAACTAACAAAAATCAGATTTTTCATAACTTATGCTTACAATACATTTTAGTGTAAGAACTCTGAATTACAGCAACCAATTCCAAATGAAATTTAGATTAGTAGAGAAATCATTTCGATTACAAACTTTTATCTCTTGACCCTTTCAAAAACTAAACAAATTTAAGAAATCGAAAATAACCCATTTGGCATCAAATGCGATTTTCTCTCTCGAGAAGAAAGGAGATCAAATGATACAAAAGGAATTATTACCTTTAGACCGGCCACGAAGAACGGGCGTTTGCTGATTATCAGTGTCAACAGCTGACGTAGCTCCTGCATCTATATCCATGTTGATCAATTGACCCCCAAAATCCTATTTGATTTACAGATAATCAAAAACATAAACACGCACTTGGTCATTTGACTTCACCAAAACTTGAAAGCCACTCCTAATTTGAAAAGTTTTGAAGTCAATCAGCCCCAATCAAGAAATGTTCGTACCTGTGATCTGTGAAAACGTGTGAAGATTTGAAGGAGAAATACATGGAGAAGCAGAGATAAATATGAAGGAATCTGAAGTGGAGTGGTTATTAGGGATTAATAAGTTTGATTTCTTTGGCAAAAGGACATAGACATAGATACATATACGCTTTTATCGCGTGACGAAGGTAGGGGAGAGGGAGTAGAACTGCCCTTTTGGATTTGGAATGTCGCTGTTGTTTTACTTTTACTTTTGAATGCCTCTCGGAATATTCCTTTATCATTTTGGATCATAGGACAAAAATACCAAAATGGAGCCATGTAGTTCAAGAAATGACAATATTTTAATAATTGTTACAAATAATTGTGTATTTCTTAAAAAATATTGTTCTACAATTTCAATATTGTTATTATCATTAGTTCTTTCAATCGAAAAGGGAGATTCTATACACAACCATACGTTCGGTCTTCCTATGATGTTGAATCTCTAGCCTAACTTTTATGGCCGATGTCAAATCCATTTTTTGTGTATCGGTGTATGATGTTTTGTCGTTCATTTTTTATGAATTTTTTTATAATGGTAATATAAAATATAATAATAGAGAAATTACATGAGACAACTCAACTTCACATCTAAAGATTTAAGCTAGTCACTAAATGTAGTATAGAAAATTTGTTGGTTCGAATTGTGTGACTGTATGAGTTGAAATTATTTTTTTAAGTAGAACGTATTAATGGAGAATTAAATATTAAAGTGAAGTGGTTGGATGAACTCAATAATGTGATTTATCGAGTTTAAGCACCCCACATAGGTTGGAGGGGGAAAATTGAGTTTATAAGTGCGAAGGCTTCCAAGCCTTGTAAGACTTATAGCATCAATGATCTATTTTGCATGCGCAAAAGGGTGAAAACATGAACAAAAATGGATTGGTTCGCTAAATGTGTGTACGAGGCATGCATCTTGTAGACACGAAAGCACCACATGTCGAACATAAAATTTCATAGACTTCAAACTTTCATAGATTATCGGTTTTGATACCAAATGAGTTATGATATGAAATGATATAAAAGTTATGAAGGAACTAAAATGACCATAAAAATGCCCAAGAAGGCAAGAACATCCAAAAGAATAATTTTTATTCTTTAAAAAGTTAATCTATGATTCTTCTATTTTTTTTTTTCAAACTCATAAACTCACTCTTAATATTTTAAAGACAACTTCACCTATTTTTATATAATATGATTCATAATGCAAAAAAAAAAATGTCAACTAAAAATAGCTTAAAAAATCACATATTTCTTTTCAAAAACCACGGTCAAACTTGCTCACCTGACAATGGTTGACCGACCGGTCATCAATCTTGACCGAACTCATAGGCCTTTTGATTGTATCCATATAATAAGCCATACCATGTGTGTTCAATAGACCACTCTACCTGGCCTTTCTCAGTATGTTGGTTCAGCTCACTGAGAGTTAACTGAATTCATCATTCATTGATTATCTTTTATTTTTCTCATTATCCTTGTTATTATAATTTAACGATGAGAAATAAGAAAATTGTATAGTATAATATACCAATAAGAAAAAAATATATATTATAATCAAATATATTTTTATGTAAATTATTTTAGTAAAAAAAATAATATTGTAATGTCATAAAAAATTTAATTGTAAATGTAGTTATGTAACAGTGTAATACACAAATAAATAGATACGAGCTGATATTTTTTTGTATTCAGCCCATTAATCCTATTGCGTGTCCAGGCCCATTATCAATGCAGTCGATCTGTTTTAGCGAGTTCGCCATCGCCATGAATATGCCCAATTCCTCCATTAAAATTAAACCCAGCTCTTTCACGCCTCTTCAGTCTTCTCCTCCTTCCCCCATCTCTCGTCGTCTCCAAGCTTACAATACGCCGAGTCAGACTCACTAATGGCTTCGTCATCGACTGCTGCGCGAGAACTACAGAAAGAGTTGGAGGGGAAAGCCAACGATCTCAGCAAAATCCAAAAGGGCAAGTCGTGACTCTATCATCTCCTCCACCTAACATCTATTACTGAATTAATCATAATATTTTGATTTTTGGTTTGTCTACATCCTACAGATATATCGAAGAACCACCAAGTCAGAAAGAAGTACACCATCCAGCTTGGTGAAAATGAACTTGTCCTCAAGGTCCCCCTCTTTCCCATTATCCCCCTTTACTTTTTTCAAATTCGGGTTTCGTTTTTCTTTAGGATCTCTTTTAGTTTTAGCAATTGACTCTATTGCGATGCCATGTCGAGAGATCAAGAATCGGAATATGGACTTTTGGGGCGAAATAAGGAGTAGCTTTAGATATCTGATACTTCATTTTACTTTCATTTTATCACTGTGATTTGTGAAAGTAATAATCTTGTTAATTACTTGTATTCAGATTTAATGATTCTCGTTTTTGTTTATAGGAATTGGATTTGTTGAATGAGGATGCAAATGTGTACAAATTAATCGGACCAGTGCTTGTAAAGCAGGATCTTGCTGAAGCAAATGCAAATGTTCGCAAGAGAATTGAATATATTTCAGCTGAATTGTAAGTTTATATATATGTTTGTATAACTAATTTCTCTATTAAGTCATTATTAAGTCAAAAAGAAACACTCATATCATAATATCATATATAGCTTACTAAGTAAACAAGAAGCAAATCAACAACACTTGAATTGCAAAGATTTTACTCTGATATTCTGCAAATATTTCTTAAATCTTTTGTGATAACTTTAGATTTATTTTTTTATTCAACTTTTGGGTAGGTTATTGAGTACAAAAATTTGTCATCATAGCCTCAAATATGACATTTCTACATGATTCTTGAAAACAGGAAACGTTTGGATTCAACTCTTCAGGATATGGAGGAAAAGCAAAATAGCAAGAAAGAAGCTGTTAGTGACCTTTTCTCTCTTCATCTTGTTATATATTTTTTTTTTCAGTTTTGTTTTGTGGCATTTGATGTCTATAAAAAGAGATATATTGTTGGTGATTGTATGTAGAAAAACTGCTAAATGTGCATAAAAACAACAAATTAGTGAAAACCTTGTAAAAATGGTTAAATAAAGTTAGTGAAAAGCTATACAAAATGGAGTTACAAATTTATCACCATTACCTCATGAGTTTTTATAATTTAGATGATGATGCTCATAAATGATATGACAATAGTAATCTAAGAATTGACAAAAAGTTTTTTACTTTTTTACTTTTTACAGATTTATAAGTTACAGCAAAGGATTCAATCTCTTCAAGCTGGAAAAGCCAAGGCTTAATTTGCATTATGACAACAAGTGTGCACGTGATTGAAATTTGTTTCATCTTTATTATCATGTAAAATCTAGAAAGTGTTGCATGTAGATTGAGATTTTCGTAGGGTTTTTGCATAATTATATTTGGAATTGTGATTGCGATTTTCACCACAATGTTATCTTTTCCATTTTCTTAAATCATTTTTATAATTTCTTTCTTTTGATCTTAATAGATTTATTTGCAATTTGGATCAACAATTTATTGGGTAGTAAATCAATAAAATGGTAAAAATTAGTTGTAGTTTTCTATAAATTTTCCAAAAGTAAAACAACATTTTAAATTTTAAATTTTTAATGCAATATAAACTGAATAATCCAACTACATTTTCTACCTAGATTCAAAATTCAATTGCATTCAGCAACCTTGACTTTCCAAAAATAGCAAAATATTCAACAGATGAGCTGATTATTTTTTTTTATAAAACCGCATAGATTTTTTGTTCTTCGTATAACTTGGCATTTTCCACAATGTGTCTCAATGCTTCTGCCCCCAAATGCACAAGAACCTATGTAACAAACCATATTAATTAGTTACTATGGAAAAAGACTATTTTAACCTTTACAGAGAAAAAGACGATTTTAACCTCATTTGCATCCTTGTAATGGCTGACCTCATCTTTCTTTGGCCAAGTTACAACCCAACATCTGAAAAATAATTGTAAAAAAAGTTGGTTTTTTTCCAAACACCATGAAATAGCAATATATTTTCATTTATTCATTTAATATATTAAAAAAAAAAAAAAACCTTTGTTTTCCAAGGCGACATGAAAGCTCTTCAGCTAAGGCTTGACCAGGTCCATCACCATCTGTAGCCAATATAATTCGAGATGCCTACAATAAATAAATATATAATAAAAATAAAATTTCTCATTTTTTTTATTTTTTTATCAGCATTGACTTTGACTAACATAAATAAAAATTAAAATAATAATAATAATAATAAATTACACACCTTATCAAGACACCCGTTGCAATCCGATAGGTATTTAAATCTAGCCTCCTGATCAGAAAAATTATTTAATAACAAACACTTTAATATATATAATTGAGTGGTCGTTTTATTTTTATTAAAAAATAACTATACTTTTTTTGGGTTAAATGCAATAAATAACAATGTACTTTTATGCATACATTTATTATAGCGCCTTACTTTCATTTCTTCTGTATTTTGAAAAAGTGAAATTGTCAGAAAAATCCTAATATTTTCAGAAAAGTTTCACTTTAGTCCTAAAATTCTTTTTTTGAACAGAAAAGTCCTGATTATTTGATTTTACACAATAATGTCATTTCCTATTAAAAGAAAAAAAATTGTTAATTTGAGCCAAAATAAAATAATCGGGACTTTTATGTTCAAAAAAAATCGAGACAAAAATGAAACTTTCCGAAAATTTTGGGACTTTTCTGACACTTTACCTTTGAAAAATCTACCAAATTTCATCTCTATAATAAGATTCTTTCATTTTTTTGAAAATACACTTGGGTAGAGTAAATTACACGAATGGTCCCTATGGTTTGGAGTAATTTGCATGTTTGGTCCCTAACTTATTTTTTTAACTCTATAGTTTGGTTTTGTTTCGCATTAAATCCCTATCAAATCTGAAATTACTATACCCCCCTTGATTGTTTCTTTTTCGATTTAATTATTATTTATATTTTAAAAAAAAGAGAAATAAATGCACTAAATTAAACCTGTTTTTTAGAGGGTGATGCTTTTATTGACACGTGTTGTGGTGCTCCATCAGGAACACTAACACAATTTATAATTCCAGCTTCTTCCATTGAAAGCTTATCAATTTCACCTTCAACCTACTATCACCATTAAATTAAATTCATATATTATATTATATATACATTAAACTATTAGAGTAATAGATCTAAAATTTGTTAAAAAAATTACTATTACTATAACAATGTCATGTCCTTCCTTTATGCCATCAAGTCCATACAATATCCTTTCTCC